AGGGTTTAGGGTTTGTGTGTGTGTGTTTTAATGCATGCTTTCGCCTGCTGCCCCATCATCATAAACCCTATACCGCTTCCCTCGTCTGCCTGGACGCCTTCGTCCCTATCCATCTAGGGTTTAGGTCTAGGGTTTAGGGTTTAGGGTTTAGGGTTTAGGGTTTAGGGTTTTGTGTTGATATACAGGATGCGGGTGGCCCTAGCGCATCGGAGTATACATCTCCTTATTTATCTGCTCACTTTGTTGCGNTATACAGGATGCGGGTGGCCCTAGCGCATCGGAGTATACATCTCCTTATTTATCTGCTCACTTTGTTGCGGAGCAGCGGCGTCGTCGTGAGCAGCAGCGTTTGCAGCAGCAGCAGCAGCAGCAGCAGCAGCGTCATTCTTTATTGCGTTTATTTTTAGGGGGAGATGAGGAAGAGTTTGTCGATGAACAAACCCCAGAACAAGCGCATGCATACTACCCCGAGGGCCCCATCTCTGATGTTATATATCCTGTGAATGGGGGTTTAGAGGACTGGGCGTATTCTGCTGCTTTCCAGCCAAGCCCTCTCCCTATCAGTGCATGCAAAGCCAGCCCCAAAACACCCCGCATGCATGCGCATGCGCATGCGCATGCACAAGCAAAACGCATGCAAGCAGCGCAAGAAGAACACATCCATATACCCTGGTGGCAACAGTGGCTTCCTGCTGCTGTCGCAGCTAAGCAACAAACCCTGCTAGAGAGTGGACACGCGCAGCAGAAGCAGCAGCAGCTGCAGCAGCAGCAGCAGCAGCAGCAGGATGAAGAAGAAGAAAAACAACTAACCATACAAGCAGACTTCTCTGCTGTTCGATGCGCCATCTACCTCGTTGAGACACATGATGATAAACACCCACGCCTGAAAGAATACGGTCAGAGGCAATACATGCAGATGCATGCATGCATGCAGATGCATGCATGCAGATGCATGCATGCANATACGGTCAGAGGCAATACATGCAGATGCATGCATGCATGCAGATGCATGCATGCAGATGCATGCATGCAGATGCATGCATTCATGCATGCATGTATGCACAGGAAAGGAGAAACAATCTAGCTGTAATGAACTCCGTTCTTTGTGTATCTCCTTGGCTTGATCCCGCATATTCTTACCTTCTCAGTCTGTGTCTCTATACCCACCCGTGCAAAATTAAGGGTTTAGGGTTTAGGGTTTAGGGTTTAGGGTTTAGGGTTTGGGGTTTGTTGCAGGGGAGTTTCCGGTGTCACTAGCTGCGGCGCCAGCTGTGGCGGATGGGCTCGTAGCTCGGAATGTCCGCATAGCCGTGAAGATGGCTGAAAAAGTTCAGCCCGATCTGCTGATCCTTGCAGCTCCTGCGATGTATCAAGCCCCAGGTAAGGGTTTAGGGTTTAGGGTTTAGGGTTTAGGGTTTAGGGTTTAACGGGCGGGCTGGTTTGGGGATTCACGGTAGAAGGCGTCTCTGCGGTGCTGCTGCACGCCGCAGGCTCGCCACAACTGCTGCCGAGGGTTTAGGGTTTAAGGTCTGGTTGTTTAGGGTTTAGGGTTTAGGGTTTAGGGTTTGGGTCTGTGGTTTAGGGTGTATCGCCAACTTTGCTGTGNTTTTTTTTTAGATGTATCCTTATGAGGTGTACGTACACCGCAAGTTTCTGCATCCATGCACAACACCTCTTCTCCTGTCTCTGCGTTCATCTCTCCATGGCAGCCTTCTTTATGCATGCATGCAGAAGCCTTTCATGTCGCCTGCGTGCATGCATGCATGCATGCATGCATGCATGCGTGCATGCATGCATGTGATTTCTGTGTTGTGTTTGGGGCTTTGTTGCAGACGAAGCAGGGGAAATGCCATGAGTTTGTCAGGAAGACAAAAGCGCCGTTTCCTCCGGGCCTTCAGCAGACAGATTTCGACGAAGATGAACACGAAGGTAACCTTAGTTTAATAGCTTTCAGAGGGTTTAGGGTTTAGGGTTTAGGGTTTAGGGTTTATGTTTGGGGGTGGGCGCGCACCCGCCACGCGGTGATAGCATTGAAAATGGTTGCACTGAAGGCAATCGATGAATTAAATTGTGAATTTCTTTTTTATGAATTTACTTTTTTATTTTTTATTTTTTATTTTATTATTCCATTTTTTCCTTCTCCCTTCGTTTCCACTTTTTGTTTTCCGATTTCTCACTTTTTAGATTTTGTTTCTACTTCGTTAATTTTCTTCATTTTCCGGGCTGTTTCATGTTTTATATTGTTTCATATTTACCACTTTTGTTGGTTTTTCGTTCTCCTTCTTTTACTTTTCTTTTTTGTTTATTTTTATAAATGTTTTCAGTTTATTCCTTTTTTTACTTTTTTGTGAAATTTCGCGTTTTTTCATTCGTTTGCGTGTTTCACGTTCATACTGTATTCA